AACTAATAAAAATTATTGATCAATTTTAACACACACTCTCCAATTTTAATTCACATTTTTATATCACAAAAAACATTTTATTATACTCTTTATATCAAAGTGATCATTTGTTTTCAATGAAAGACATTTTAAAATTTTATGTTTTTTTGCCAAAATTTGAATTTTTTTACGTAATTTTATAATAATTATTTTATCAAAAAATCTATTATTATTATTATATTGTAAAAACCCAATTTAAAATTTAAATTAATTTTTTAAGTAAATAATTATAAAATTATTATTAAAGTTTAGTTAAGTGTGTGGCATTACTTTTAAGTTTTTTCAATGAATATGTAATCCACACAGATAAACCCAATATTTTTGAGAAAAACCAAATTTTTTTTTTTTTAATTTTTTTTATTTTAAATTATTTTAAATTTTATTTTTATTATTTTTTTCTTTTTTTTTTTTTAAAAAATCATTTTTTTAAATTTTTTATATTTTTTTATATTAACAGGATTATATAATTCATTCTTTTTTCTTCTTTTTTTATATATAATTAATTGTACATTAACTAAAACTTAATTATTTTATATATAAACAAAAATAAACAATTCGTATTAAATAAATAATTAATAAATTAATAAATTAGAAATAAATAAATAATAAATTCAAACTTAAACATCAAATACAGCAGATTAAAACAACAAGAGTAATTAATTTAAAACAGATAATAATAATAATAAGTTTGTTTGGGTATTATAAATTACAAACCACAAAGATTTCCTTCATTTCTTAGAGATCTCAGCATTAAAAAAAAAAAACAATTTTATTCATATAAATATACAAAGGGAACTATTTATCAGCAAAAAAAAAAAAAAAAACACCTTAGCAAAAAAAAACCTTTTTCTTTCATTCTTACGTTCCCTCAACACACAATTAATCTTTCTATTTGTTTTTTTCTTCAAACCACCACTTTTTTTTTTGTTTTTAATTTTTTTTAATAAATATATGGCATATCTCCTTTAGAGATGTACATATTTTTCAGTTTGTAATAATAATAATGTTTAAAATATCAGTTTATAATTTTAATAATATATTTTCTATGTATTCGTTTTTTTTTTTTTTCAAATCTGTTATTACAATTTGAAAAAAAAAAAATTCAAATTTAATTTAAAAAAATAATTTTAATTTTTATAAAATTTTAAAATTTTTTTATTTCAATAATAAAAATAATAATAAAAAAATAAGAAATAAAACTATTTACACATACAACATTGTAATGTATCTATATTATAAAAAACAAAACATTTTTCAACACATAAAAAAAATTTCGGCGATTTTATAACATCTATAAAGCTGGAGAGTTGTGTTTTTTTTTAAATTTTTTTTTGGGTGGGTGTGTTGTGTGGGTTTTTTTTGTGTATATTTTACAGTTTTATTATTGTTTTTTTTAAATAAAATTTAAATTTTTACGGTTCTCACACAATTTTTTTTTAACACCCAACACTCACACATATAAATAGTTTATTTTCATTTAGCACACTATAACACACACATATAGACAATATTATAAATATAATAAAACATATATACATATTTATATGTGCATATAAAATTTATACCTAAAATAATTTTTTAAAAAAAAATAAAAACATTATATTATATTAAATTAAATTAAATTAAATTATTTTTTTAATTTGATAAATTAATAAGCTAATAATAATAAAAAACACTAAACATTTATTAATATAATTATTTTCTTTAATATTTTATTTCCTATTTAGAAGTTTTAAATTAATTTTTTTATATAGTATTGTTAAATTTTTAAATAATTTAATTAATACTCAAATACAGGCAAATCACCAAAAACAAAAAAAAAAAAAACCACTTTAATAATTCCATCAATACACTACACACAAATAAATAATAGTTCAATTATAACATTATTTATTTACATTTCAATCACTCACCTCAACAGTTTAGTAAAATAATTTAATAACTACTTTTATATTCAAAAAAAAAAGTTTTTATTATTTTATTTTTTTTAATAAGCACCAACTTTATTCACATATTTAAATTATAAATCACATTTTCACAATCTTTTTGCATTTAGCAAGTATAATGGCCTTTGAAAACCAAAAAGAATTAGAATTACTTAACAACAACAATAATAAATTTAATAATTGCGTTTCAAAATCATTATCATTTAATCAACAAGAAGAATTTATTTGGCAAGAAAAATCAGACTCTAGAATTTTTGATAGTATTCATAATCATCAACCAAAACCAGAACAAACCGTTTATAAACCACCACAATTTCAATCACCAAGATGTTGCTCACACCATCACAATTTCATGATGGATTTCATGGGTCACCAGACAAATGCTTATCTTTGTCATTAGAAAATAATCATATCAGTTGTCGTGCTAATTTATTTAATGGCAATAATCAATTAAATAGTAGTGGCAACAGTAGTAGTAGCAGTAATTCAAATAAAAAACAACAACAAGAAAAACAACAACAACAACAAAATAACACTAATACTACTACAGGTTTTATTAAATATTCACCAACCAACAGTTTAAATAATTCATTTTCATCAGAATCACCTTCAGAATCATCCAGCGACGAAGATAATGTCAATTATGAGGATGATGACGATGATGATGATGAAAATGATGATCAACATTATTCATATTCAGAAGGTGAAGGTTTTTCAGACAACGAATCATCAGATGACAAAGATAGATACAACGATTATTTTTCAAAACAATATTTAAAGAAATCCTATCATTCTGAAGAAGAAGATGTAGCCGACGATGATTCCTCTGATTTCCAAGATGAAGACGCCCCAACATCTGAGGAAGAACAGGATATACTTTCCGACGATGAATCATCCGATAAATCATCGGCTGAAGAAGAGTCTGATTCCGATTCCGATTCTGAATCTCTAGTTGATGAATCCGAAGAAGAAATTAAAAAGAGATATCAAAAAGAATGGATGCTTGACAACAGTAACCTTTCATTAAAGAAAAGTGTTTCAACCCTTTTTGCATCATCATCTTACGACAGCGAAAGTGAAGAGGATTTCGACAGTAGCAGTGGCCAAGAAGGTTCATCCTCTGATAAAGATATAGAATCATACTTTGATGACAGCTTCTTACCAGGTTCTTATTCAATTAATATCACTCCACCAAGAAAAGAAAATAATAATTGTATGGTCTCAAATGGTGCTGGTGTTGCCACATCTTCAGAAGATGACGATGAATTCTATAATTATAGACATACTAGAAATTTCGATTATGACAGCGATGATGAATTTATCGATAAAGAAAAGATTCAAAGAGAAAAAGAGCAAGATAATAATGTATTAATTGCTATTAGAAAGTCAGTCAATGGTACAAGTGCTAAAGAAATTAAAATTCCATATTGGTATGGTTATGAAGATGAAAAACATATTCAAGTAATTTTCGAAAAATATATTCAATTCCTTCAAATCGATCAAGAGGCCAAATATACATTGCGTGGTCCAAAGCCATTTATTGGTCGTATTCATCGTAGAGCTATTCAATATGAGGGTGAAACATGTTTTACCACTTTAGATACTGTAAAAGTGTATCGTTATGAAATTCAACCACTTGGTAGACCATTAAACATTTATAAATCATTTGTTCTTCTCACTTGTTGGGATGATGAAAATGGTTTACCAACTAAACTAAGAAAAGCAAACTCATTATCAAACAAAGATTTTTGGGCCAACGAAGCAAAGTCACTCAAATCTCAAAGTAACCGTGATAGTAAAATTTCATCTTTTCTTTATTGCTCTCCAATCTTTGATACCGATTACTCTTTTAGTCACTCTGTAGATAATGAAAAATACCCGGTAGACTTTTTACCAAATACTCAAACTATTACCAGTAGCAGAAATAATAATCAAAATACTAAAAACTTTTTAAACATTGGTAGTGGTATCTCAAGATTATCAGAATCACATCCTCTTTTACCAAATTTATCAAGAGGTTGCATCGTTCCGCAAAGAAGATCAAGTCATCCATCTTTATTACTATCTTCTCATATTTATTCTCATACTTTAATACCACAAAATGGTTTTAAAGATAAAACATCAAATGATTATAGTTAATCATAAAAATAATAATAATAATATATACAACCTATAATCCAAAATTAGTTTTTTGTACTTTAAATAATAACATCAATCATCAATATTTAATTTTTTTAATCACCAATTCATATAAAAATGCGTTTTTAAAATTTTTTCTTTTAACCTGTAAATAAAACATATATAACTTTTTTTAATTTTAAAAATGGTGCTTCCATTTCCTCATTTTAACTTAATCCACATCTTTTCTTGTTTCGCTCTTTTTTTTTTTAAATTTTTTTTTAATTAATTTTTTTTAAATTTAAATTTTTTTTTTTTAAATTTATAATTTTTTTTTTCATTGTGGATTTAGTACCATATCTTTTTATAACATACCAAATATAAATAACATTGTCTTAAATAATATGAAGGAACAAAATAATATAGTTACTACTGCATCTAGTACTACAAAAACCACTATTTCAGTGGCTCCTTCACCCTCCACTTCTTCATCAAATAATAATAATAAAAATACAAAAGAAAAAATCGAAACATTAATAAATAAAATTATAAATAAACAAGATTATGGTGGTGATGATAATGTTTATAAAATATTGGACTTTTGGAAAACAAAGATAATACCATCAAATTCAAATATAGAGAATATTCTTTTCTTATTAAAGCATTATGAAAACCCTAGAATTATAATTCCTTTCATCTGGGACTATATTGGCATAAAAACAACACCAGAAATATTTAAAGCAGTTTTAGATCAATTTAGAGTATTATTATACAGCGATATAACCTTGGTTCATACAATATCATTATCATTAAAAAATGTAATGATTCCATCACATTTTAATAGCCATATTAATCAAATTATATTCGAATCATTATCAAGACCAATAAATAATAAAAACAGTAATGATAATAATAGTAATAATACTACAATCGTTAATAGTAAAGATGACATCATTTTATTTAAATTACTTATTAAAACATCAAATTTTAAGAGCAAGAAAAGTGATATTATTGTAGTATTGGTTAATAGAATTTTTAGTCAGTTACACGAAAAGAATAATGTCCACTATTTTATAGATTTGTTTATTGAAGAGTCAATAAAGTTTAATCCATCTTGTAAGTAACTGTTTATAATAATATGTTTGTTGTAGTCATATCATCTTTTATACTAATTTTTATTTAAATTTATATTGCCATTTTATTTTAGTGTTATATGATTACCTTTGTTTAATAAAGAAATTAAAGAAACACTATGACTATCACTTGGAGTTTATATTCAAATTAATTAATTATCTTTTAGAGAATCAACATCAGCTTCATAGTATCGACAAAACAATTGATTTTAAAACTTTAACAATTGATGTTTTGTTTTTTTTAGTGGCCAAAAAAGTATTTGACTTTAATAATTTATCATCTAATATAGGTTTTCAAACAATTTCCTTATCAACTGTATCATTTACAATATTCGAATTTTTTAATAAGTTAAAATCATTATCAACCTCTTCAATAACTTTGGATGCTAATAAAATCAAATCAAAGGATAATGATATATTATCAATTAAAAAATGGTTATCATCCATTTCAATCGTTTTATTTAAGTCATCACCAATTCAATTATTAAATATTTTATTATCACAATTACCAACAAATATAATAAATAATAACAATAATAAAAAAGATAATATCAACAATAATAGTAGTATAAACAACGTACCTTTCAATACAAGTTTGGCCGTTGGAGTTTTAATGGATTTGTTATTATCGTTTGGTAATGAAATTAAAGAGAAGCAATTATTCAATTGTTTTATGGATATCATCTTAATGCCAATGGATTACTCCACAAGTTTCCAAAATTTCCATCCATATGTAGTTCATTCAATATGTTTAATGGTAAAGCCATTGTTACAAGAAAAAGAGGCTAATGCTATTGTAGAAAGAGCATCTCCTTTATTATTTAGTAATAATATAAGTTATCGTATACATAGTTTAATAGTGTTATCAAATTTCTTTAAACCAGATAGTCAGTTTATTAAATCAGAAGATCTTCTTAAATATTCAACCAGTTTATTCAATAGTAATAATAATAATAATGATAGTAGTAATGGTGGTTTTAATGAAAATTATTTTTTCATTGATTTCTTAATAACAAATTATAGTTCAATTAATATTACAATATTAGAAAAAATATTTAAAACATATTTAGTACCAATAGTATTATCATTTAAAATCTTTCAAAATAATTTGGTTAATAGAAATAGTGTATTGTTTGATGTATCACATATTACCCACAACAATTGGCCAAATATATCATTGGCAATAAAGTGTTTTTTATTAATCATTGGTAGAATTGGTATTAATCACTTACCATTTTATATTAAATCAATTTTCGATAATCCACACTCATTGAAATTGTCATCATTTGGTATTGGCGAAAACGAAGATGTTAAAAAGGATGATAGAAGCGCCCCACTTAAAGAAGAAGATCTTATGGACCCAAATAGATTTAAAGAAGAGCAAGAAAAGAAACAAAAAGAAAAACTTTTGGTTTTAGAGGGTGATATTAACAAGTTATATTGGGCAGTTAAAATTGGTTCATTAATTTCAAACTTTAGTGATTTAAATCATTTATTACCTCAATTATTTTATATTCAAACATTGGCAAATACTATGAAGCAAAGAATGGAAGAGCATTTCAATATTTATACATCAACAGCAAACTATAGTTACCCATCATTAGAAGAGGCCTTATCGACACTATCAATAAAGACTTTTTTGGTTGCATTAAAGTCCCTTTCTGTAGATTTGTTCACATTAGAAGCTGCCCAAAGCTTATTTTTATTTTTAATTCAAATTTCATGTAGAGTTTTAATTCATTCAAATAACAGTGGCTGGGACCTCAACAATACAAATGGCGATGGACTTTATGTCAGTAACGAGTTGGTATTAGAGTCATTGGTTTCAAATTCAAATTTATCAATAAAGAATGGATTAAAGCAGAGCTTGGAAATGAATTTTATTCGTTGGTTAGTCGGGTTCTTATATAAGGAAATCCATCCATTGGTTTTAAAGTGTAGAAAAGATATCTCTAATGTTGCATCAACTGGAAGACCCATTAACAAGACTGTAGATCATTGGCATTACTATGAGAACATTATGGCATATGGTTTACAACTCATTAGAATTTACCAAGCATTAGCAAACAATTCAAATAAAGAAGCATATTTATTCATTTTAGAAGATTTTGCCTCAGTTTTAAATATAGAGCAGTCAAATAATTATCAAGAAATTTTACAATCATTAACTAATTGGTTCTACAGTATCGAAGATGGCTATTTAGCATACTTTTTATTAGATATTATATGCTCGATTAGAAGATATTGCGATTTATCAAGATTTGGTATGTCTGAATTATACTATCAAATGTTATCAACTTTATTCCCATCAAATAATATTGGACTGGTTCAAACTTTACTTTTACCAATTGAAAATAAGTTATTCAAAAGTGTAGAGTTATCAACATCGTCAAATAATTCATTCTCCTTAATCAACAATATATTTTTTAGTTTTATTCAAATCATTTATGATGGAAAACCAGCAGAGCTTTTAAATATTATTACAAATTTTCAAAATAGTTTTTCAAATTTAGTAAATCAATATATTAATAGTTTCAATGAGAGTATTAATAACAAAAATATAAAAATTAAATTTATAGAGGATGACAAATATAAATTTTTAAATTCAGACCATATAAATGATGTAAGTAAAATACCATTAAGCTACTAATTATTTATACCCCCTGTCAATTACTAATTTTTTATTTTTATTTTTTATTAGTTATCCAGAATGTTTTTACAATGTAATTTATTTTTATTAACAGAAATTGAATTTATTGATATCTTTAACATAGATGTTCAAAAGACCAATGAATCCAATTTCAATCATTCAAGTTTCCTTTACCACTTAATCGACAACACCATTACATTAATTTATAATTCAATTGAATATAATAATTTGTTTGATAGCGATCTGGAAATGTAAGTGGCTTTTTTTTACCACATTTTAATTATTTAAATATTAACAATTTTTTTTTATTATAAAATAAAACATTATGATATCCAGAGTTTTCTTAGATTTAATTAAAAAGTTTACAACTAAATTATTGTATCATTTAGAAGTTATTAATGATATTTTTGAAAAATCATATATTATTAATAATAACAATTCGAGCCAACAAGAACATAGAAATGGAATAATTATAAATTTTATTGAATTAAAAAAACAATTTAAAAAATACGCACAATTATTAAAAGATAATAACATAAATACAACTTTTAACAACAACAACTTGGCAGATTTAATAATTTCAAAATGTAAAATTAGTAAATTAGTTGATATCGTCAATAATGGTAATAACAGTTCAAAAAATACTTTACCAATCAATAAAGCTCCAATAGAAAATGAAAAAGCAACCAGATTTATTGAAGAGCTTTCAGAAAACACTATTGACTTTTCAAGCGAATATGAAAGAATAGGTGAGGAGTATGGCTATGATGAGAATAGCAATGACGAAGAAATTCAAAAAACAATTAAAATGGACATTAAAGAGTTAATAGGCTTAATGAAGAAGAATAAACAAAATAATGAAAGAACAAACACCAATTCTAATAGCGGCAGTAAAACCAACAGCAATTACATTCCACCATTTTTAGAAAAAGCTCCTACCCCCACAACCACATTACATTAGTTTTTAAAAAATAAAAAAATAGAAATTGTAACAGTAATAGTATACTGTGTATATACATATAAATTTTGTTTTTAATATACGTATTATTTATTTAAATATTATATATATTTATATACATATATTAAATATTATATATTTTATTTAATGTTTATCTTCATTGTTTATTAATAAAAAAAGGATCTTGCTTTATTTTTTTGAACTCTGGTTTTTCTAAACATTTTTTTCCGTATTCTATATCGTCATTAATTGCTTTAACCAATTCTTCTAATGTTTTGAAATCACACATTGGTCTAATAAAACCTAAGCCAATTGCTCTAAGCTCTGCGCCGTAAAAATCTCTTTCAAAATGATGAATTAAATGAATTTCGATTGTCTTTTTAGTATTTTTATAAAAAGGGTTCCATCCAATACTCATTGCCATAGGATATACATTATCATTTTCTAATCCTTCAACATTTGCCCATCCATAATAAACTCCTATAGGTATATCTTTTAATTCCTCTTCTAACTCTTCAACTGGTAAATTTGCTAAAAAAATATAAAAGTTTAAATTATATTAGAAAACTCTAGTTTTTATAATTGTGCTTACAATCTATTTATTTATTTCATTATTACATACCTGTTGGAATTCCTAATTGTTTACTTCCTCTGCCAAAACCTGTTATTACTGAGCCTTTAAAATATAGTGGTAATTTTTCAATTGGAGTGAATGAGCCTCTTTCAATTTCCATAGTGTATATTACAAAGTTGTTTAGTTTTATTGAAATTTAATAGTGCTGTTTTTTTTTCTATTTTTTTTAATAATCGTTTTACACCAACATAAACTTTAAATAAAAAACCAAAAACTTTTTTTTTTTTTATTTTTTTTTAATTTTGAAATTTTTTATTTTATTTTTTAATTTTTAAATTTTTTAATTTTAAAATTTAGAGATAAAGAGATAAATACTAAGAATAATTAGTAAAAAATTTTTGAAAGCAAAATAAAAATTAATATAAATAGTTACAGAAGAAGAAAATAAAAAAAATAATAATAAAAAAAAAAAATAAAAAAATTAAGTTGATATTTTTAATTTTTTTTGAAAATTTTTATATTTTTTTTTTTTTTTTTTTTTAATTTTTTTTTTTAAAATTTTTTATTTTTTATTTTTTTTTTGAAATTTATTTAAATAATTTATAAATTTGGAAGAGGAACCAATCGTTTGGAATCTCCAACATAGCACGTCACAATGTCAGATGATAAAAAACAATTAGAACAATCAAAAAAGATTTTGGAATTGTTCAAAAATGCTTCAAAACAAGCACCAAAAGAAGAGAAAAAAAGAGATTCACATGATTTTTGGGATACACAACCAGTTCCAAAAATCAGTGATAATGTAGTCGAATCAGGTCCAATAGAAAATAAAACATTAGATGATGTCAGAAAAGAACCTTTGGCTTTACCAGATGCCTTTGAATGGGTCGAAGTTGATGTTAACAACTCTGAAGAGGTATTTATTTGATTTTAAAATGTTCATTCATAGAGTTGGCTTTATATACTAACTATAGTTATCATTTTATTTATTTAAAACAAACAAAAACAAATAAAAAAAACAAAAAAAAACATTCAAAAATATATAGTTAAAAGATCTTTATACTTTACTTAATGAAAATTATGTAGAAGATGATGATAATATGTTTAGATTCGATTATTCAACACATTTCTTAAGATGGGCATTACAACCACCAGGATTTTTAAAAGAATGGCATATTGGTGTTAGAGTTAAAGCATCAAAGAAATTGGTTGGATTTATTTCAGGTATTCCAGCAACTATTAGCGTCGATAGCAAACCAATTGAAATGGTCGAAATTAACTTTTTATGTGTTCACAAGAGATTAAGAGAAAAACGTTTAGCACCAGTCCTTATTAAAGAGGTTACAAGAAGAGTAAACTTAAGAAATATTTGGCAAGCAGCCTACACCGCTGGTATTGTTATTCCAAAACCAGTCTCAATTTGTAGATATTATCATAGATCACTCAACCCAAAGAAGTTGGTCGAAATCAATTTCTCACACATCCCACCAAAGATGACTATGGCATCAATGATCAAAATGTATCGTGTTGATGATAAAATGAAATACGATTTCCGTCCATTAGAAGAATCAGATGTTCCATCATTTAGAGAACTTTTAGTTAATTATCTCAGCAATTATAAAGTAGCCCCAATCTTTTCCTCTGACGAGGATGTTTGGCATTGGTTCAAACCAATTCAAGATGTTGTCTCTTGTTATGTCAAAGTTGACCCAGAATCTAAAAAAGTTACCGATGTTTTCTCTTTCTATAATCTTCCATCATCTGTCATTGGTAACGAAAAATATAAAACATTAAAAGCCGCTTTCTCCTTCTATAATGTTGCTACCACCATTTCAATTACCGAGTTGGTAAGTGATGCCCTCATTGCCGCCAAAAAGGATAACTATGATGTATACAATTGTTTAGATATCTTTGAAAACAAGAATTTCTTCAACGATTTGAAATTTGCCATGGGTGATGGTGACTTACAATATTACTTATACAATTACTCAACCCCAACTAAAAAACCATCAGAAATTGGTTTAGTATTATTATAAAAAAAAAAAAAAAAAAAAAAAAAAAACAAAAAAATTCTTTTTTTATCAAAAAAAATGGTATATATCTAATTTTGTTGTTGTTGTTTAAAATAGAACAGCGCCACTTTATTGGCATACGCATTATTTCAAACCTAATAAAGAGTTTTCATATAATATTACAACTTCAATATTTAATTTAAAAAATTAATTTTTTCAAATAATATTTTCTTTTTTTTAAAATTAATTTTTTCAAAAATTTTTTTTTTTAATTGTTTTTTTGTGTGTTTTTTTTTTTTTTTCATTTCATTTCATTTTACATATTTGTTTTAAATCATATATATTTATATTTATTTAAAATCTATTAAATATGATTCCATTGATTAGATTATCCAAAAATAGGGTATCCCTATTACTTAAACCAAAATTAAAATCAACACCATTCAAATCAACAACATTTATAATATCTAAAAACAAAACCAATAGTAATTTATTCATTGCTTCGCAAAATAACAATAATACTTTAAAAAGATTTTACTCTGGCAACATTAACAATAATAACAATAATAATAGTAATAATAGTAATAATAATATAACCAACGACAATGATAAAAATAAAAAAGAAGAAAATTTTGAAGAACATGTATTTCATGATAGAGATGAGTTTAGTAAAGATCCAAAATTCTTTTATGTTGTATCACTTATTGTTACTGCTGGCTTAATTTATAATTTTTATCAAGGCTATATATATTTTGGTAGGTAAAAATTTAACTAAAGTTTGTTAATAGAAATTTAAATTTAAAAGTTTATTCTAACCATTTTATAATAATCTTTTAGCTACAGAGGATATTTTAGATGAAGTTAGAACAATTTTAAATAGCGATGATGCATTAGAAAGAAATACAGCATTAGGATCTATAGCCTCCAGAGCATCGCTTGTATATTGTATCGAAAAACTTTTTCACCTTGGTGTTGTTGAAGTTTTAGTTAAATCATTAAATGATCCAGATCCAATTGTACAATTGACAGCAATAAAGACACTAGATAAATTTTTTAATACATATCATTATGAGGTATTTGGTGATGAAGCGGTCAAAAGGGGTGCATGCCAAGCATTAGCAAGAATTATTTTATCAAATGGTATGAATTCTGATGCTGCTTCGGGGGTTTGGCTAAGATTATTATTATCAAGTAAATATAACAACATTAATATTCAATAGATTTAATTATTATAGTATTAATTTTTTTAATATATTTTTATTCATAAAAGAAAACAATCAAGTTCAAGTTTTAGCCTCAAATGAATTATTATATTGTTTGCAAACTTTAGCTTATTCTGATAATTTAGAATTTCAAAGAGTAGCAATTGCAACAATTAAAATATTATTTGTAAATAGAGATGTTTATCCAATGCTACTTAAACTTAAAGGTATGCTTTCTCAGCTCCACAAATCACAAGATATCTTAATTTCAAACCATGCCGAGTACTTTTTAAATGTTTTAAAGGGTGAATTAATTCCTCCAGTAGGTGATGTCTCTTTTAAATTTGAAGAATTAAATATTGGTCATAAAATGCATGGTGCTATTAATTTATTGATGGTACCATTCACTTATTTATATTGTTGCCTAAGATGGAGAAGACATAGCAGAGATCCAGTAAGTATATTATAAATTTCATTCAATCAAAAGTTAAATATGTATTAATTTTAATTTTTTTAGATTTATTGGAGAACCAAAGGTTTATATGGAGGGGTAATGGTATTTTTAGCATCAACCGTATCGACATTATTACTCTATCCAGATTTCCACCCAAATATCATCGATGACAGATTAAAGAAAGGATTTTCATTGGGACCAAAAACTCTTGAAGAGTTTGACAGATGCAAGGAACAATTACAACAATCTGCAGTATTATTGGTTGATCAAAAAGATGAAGATCCAAAATCAGAGGATAATAAAGAAATTACAAAAAATAAAGAATCAAAAGAAATTGTTAATAGTAGCGAAGAGTCATCAGGCTTTAAACAAGATTTTTTATTTACTCCAAACTCACTTTATGTAATGAAACAAGCCTCACCCATTTTAACCTATTTCATTTTATTAATGGGATGGAAACATGCTAGATATATTGTAGTCCCAAGCATCGCTTTATTGGTACACAATTTAAATAACAAATATATAAAGGTTACTGTTCAAAAATAATCTAAATAAATTAATTATAATGTACAATTTTTTAGAATTAAAATTTTTTTTATTTTGAAAATTAACTAAAATTCTTTAAACTTTCTTTTTATAAAAACTAAATTTTTTCAATTCCTTTAATTTTTTTAATTGAAAAAAAAAGAAATTTTTTAAAAAAAATTTAATATAAATATTTTATAAAAAAAAACTGAATTTAATAAATTGAGGATACTAAACTAAATAATCATGATAAATAATAAAAATAAAATCAAAGAAATTGAAAGAAATAATTCAAGTAAAATAGAAAGTGATTTATTTTATAATCAATATTTAAATAAAAGAAAACCTGTAGTTTTTAACAAATTGGCAAAAGATGGGAATTGGGATGCTTTAAAAAAATGGACACCTGAATATTTATGCAGTATAATAGGAAATGAAGAGGTAGATGTAAATAAATGTTCATTCATTGGGTATAATAAAGATTTGATAAAAATGAAATTCAATGAATATTTTTTATTAAATGAAAAATTAAAAAATAATAACTCAAAAGGTAAATTAATTCAAAACAGTAAAACAAATAAACTTATAATAACATTTATTATTTTTTTATCATCAGATAAAATAGAAAAAAAAGATATTCCCTATTTAAGAAATTATGAAATGTATGATTTTAAAGATGAAAAAATAAATCAAGATTTTTTTAATGATACCAAGGGTGAATTGCTATTTAATAAAGAAATTCATGATACAGTTATTAAAAGAACATTCATCGGTATAAAAAATTCAATAACCCAACTTCACATAGATACTGCAGATAATTTGGTTACAGTTATAAATGGTTCAAAATACATTATTATGATTTCACCATCGGAAGAATCTTTATTAAACTATGAAAAATTAAAAACTATTGAAATATCGTTTAACAATGAAAATGATGGGGTTCCCGTGGAAAACCATCCGGGGTTTGAAAGTGTAAATAATATTTATTATACAATTTTAAATTCGGGTGAATCATTATTTATTCCTAACGGATGGTTACATTATGTTCAAAATATAGACTTTACAATAAGCACAAGCTGTTGGGGTAAAAAATTAAAAATCTAAAAATCTAAAAATAAAAATAAAATATATAAAATATTTTTTCTTTTTTTTTTTTTTTATTTTTTTTTATTTATAATTATAATACAATTATTTATTTTTTAAATTCATTATTAAAAATAAAATTAATTGTTTGATCGGAAGTTGGGCTACTTATATTGTTTTCATTTTGTACAAAATCTACCTCCGAACTATTAAGTGTAAAAGTTTGAGGTTTGATATAATGATTATTTTGATTTTCTTGAGTTGGCTTTTGAAGAACACCTTGGCTAATTAACAAATCATCCAAGTAAACAGCGAAATCTTTTATAGCTTGAGCAGGAACTTTATAATAATTCCAAATTTTTATCTTACTAATTATAATAGGTGAATTGAAATAAAAATATATAACATTATTCTCTTTTGAAAATGATGGTGGCTCTGCTCTATTGTTACTATTTTTATTTGGTGAGGGATATTGTGGGAATTGTTGACATAGCTGAGTATTATGTGGTAAGTGTTGATGGAGTGATCCAAAACTAACTGAATAAAATGGTATTAATATTCCTTGATTCTCTAGATGTGTTAATCCATTTTCAACAACCCTAAACGAATATTTTGTATCATTTGTTAAAATATCTAAAATTTTAAAATTAGTATTAATTGATACAAAACAATATATTTAATTTATAATGACTTACTACTTTTGCTTGATTTTATTAAATTATCATTTTGATCATAAAATTCTATTGCATTTAAACCAACTAAATTTTTATCGCCATGATTTGAGATTATTAAAACCTTTAATGTAAAACCGCTTGGATAGTTATCTAAAGATCGTGGCTGTGGAACAATGCTACTAATATTAGTTTTGCTTGATGTAAGTGGTTGTTCTACGGATGATGATGTTGAGGGTGGAGATACATTTTGTTTATTCCAATTATACAATGAGATAGTTTGACCAAAATCGAAAATAGAATTACCCGGAGCTTTCCTAAATATAAAACAATTATTATTTCCTCCACATAATGAATTTCCATCTAAATATATGTTGACTTTTTTGGCACCTCTGGAACTATCCTCGACACTCTTATTATAATTCCAAACCCTGATACACGATATTGACATGGGAACACCTAAATCTATTGTTAATGTATGTTCTTTTGATGGATAAAATGGAATTAGCCACATATGCTTATCATTGGTTGTAATATTATGACCATCTATTAATTTGTCTAAAGTTCTATAATCTCCGCTATGGCCTGGAACATCATTAATATCTTTTGGGTGTGCTGTAATATTTAAGACTGTAAGTGGAATTTGTTTGTATTCGTTATCGAAAATCATTATTGATGTTAAACCCATATAGAAACGATCACCCCAAGTACTTAAAAAGGAAAATTTTAACTTTCTACCTTTTGGATAATGAACTGGTGAACAAAAATCGCTAGATGAATATATAGATGATGGTGATGTTTCAAAATCTGTTGACCTAGACGAAAGTGGAGATGATGGTTTAATGAGCAACGATGATGGGATTGGTGACGATGGTTTAATTGAAAACACCGATGGAATTGGTGATGATGGTTTAATTGGGGATACTGGTGTTCTTAAAAACTCTCTATTTTCTTTTGGTACCTCTTCATCTCTATAGTGGTGATGGTGATGATATAATGATGATTGTGGTGGTGATGGTGATGGTGATGGTAAAGGTTGTTGAATTGAAATTGAGTGTACTGGTATAGATTGTGATGGTTGTGTTTGAGGTGAATACTGTTGTTGGTGATGGCCATATTGGTTGCTTTTATAATCATTATATAATACTGTCATAGCTTCCTCTTGAATTTTTCTAAACTCCTCACTATTATTATTATTTATGTGATCATTATGAGGTAATAAACCATCTTGAAACAAACCTGAAGGTGAAAATGGATCGTTTTCTTCAATTTTGCTTAAGATTTCTTCCTTATTTGTAAAGACAATATATTCACAATATTGTTCACAACCCTGTAGCAAACCTGGTGCTTTCTTGATTGAACCCCTAAATATAGTAAGGCTATTATCGATTTTAATTTCTATATCTTTTGCACCGCTCGAGGAATGTATTCTAGATTTATTATAATTCCAAATTCTAATTAAAGACAAAGTAATCTTTGAATCCAGTGTGATTGTAATTGTATTTGGTTGGCTATGAGAAAAAGGAGCTAACCAAAGATGGTTATCATCACATGTTCTTGGATGGCCATCCATAATTTTATCTATTGTTCTAGGATCATTTGAATATTCATTTAAATCACTTGGAAATGCTTTAATTTGTTGTTTTGTATCTTTTAATTTAACATAATTCCCATTGCCATCAAAAATATCAATACCAGACAAACCCACATATTTTTGATCACCCCATGTACTATAAATAAAAATTGTAATTACCCTTAAACTTGGTGGGTTTATATATAAGATTGGTGTTTGGTCAATTTGATTATTACCTGTTGGAGTTTGTTTGCTACCTGATGATGATCTTGAAGATAAATTCTTTTCTGGGGAATGAAGTGAAAGGTGCTGCAAGTCGAATGTATGAAGATGCAAATTTGGTGATGAAATTTGATTTGAACTATAACTATTTTTTTGATTAATATAACCATTGTTTTGATTATTTTCTTCGATCTCCTTATTGTTGTTCTCTTGGTTTTCATTAAAACTCATAGGTCTTTCATTTAGCTCTGCAGAAGGAATTGGTTGTGTTAAATGGGCCAATGGGAATGGACTTGAAAATCTTCTTGGTGAAACCAAACTTGATGCAGCTGGAAAAATTGAAGTTGATGCTGGGTTTACAATGGATGATAATGAATTCTTTCTATTTGATGATGGTAAACGTGAAGTAGATGAACCTGACATATTGTTTGAACTATTATTTAAACTATTAATTGTACTTAGTTGGTCAAGATTTAATGAAAACTTTGGTTTAATTGGTACATTTGTATTATTATTTGTATTATTATTTGTATTATTATTACTGTTATTAGTGTTTGTAGAATTTGAATTTACAATATTTAATTGAGGATTTATCACTGGTGTCATTAATACAGCTCTTGGTGTAAGTGATGGTGATGGTGGTAATTGTTGGTGTTGCTCATTGGTTCTTTTCCTTATAGATGATGGTCTTTTCTTTTCTAAAAATGAAAAATCCAAAGGATCAATTCTCTGAGGTGATTGTGTTGGAATTTCATAAAAATCATTTTTCTTTGCTGGATTGTGTAATGGGGTTTGTGGTGATTGTGTTTGAAGCTGTGAATGAATATGAGTTTGTTGAACTATTTGTTGGTAGACATCATCTGATGATATTAGCTCTAATAAAAATTTCTTTTTTGTTGGATCTAAGTTTTTAAACTTTGAATCAATATCGTTTTCGTCATTATTACTATTACTATTGAGACTATTACTATTACTACCGTTGTTATTATTACTATTATTAATATTATTATTATTTGTATTTATATTTGTATTATTATTTGTATTTGTACTTGTACTATTTAAATTAAATGTTACTTGACTTTGAAGTCTAGGCGATGATAAAGGCTTTTCTGTAACATCCTGATGGGTTTTAATTGAAATCTTTGGAACACCATATTTATTTTGTGGACTATTATTTTGTGGACTTTGACCAAACCTTATTGTTGGAGCAGATGATACTCTGGTTAATGGATGCTTAGTTGTTTTATAAAGCTGTTTATCTGATGGTTGTTGTTGCTGTTGTTGTTGTTGTTGTTGTTGTTCATGTGGTGAAGGTAATGCACCAGTGCTTGATGATTGTAAATTTGTTAGTTTTAATGTTGGTGTTTTATTTTTTTTATTCATTTTTTGTTGTTCAATATTTTGATCAACATTTATTATTTTTTGGTGTGATTGAGATGGTTGTGATTGAACCTGCTCATCATTACCCAATTGAACAGAGTCATCTTTTTCTTGTTGACTATCAAGTTGATTTGATTTTTTAGTTTTTTTAATATCGTTATGTAAAAATTCAATACTTTTACTTGACCAACCAGGAACTAAAGAGTGCACATTACTAGTTGATTGATTTCTTCTTGGTGATACAATACTCATAACATTTTGACTGGCTAGAGTGTGTGCTGGAACATGAGTGGTAATTCTTGGTGATATCAAGGTATTACCATTTATATTATTATTATTATTATTGCCACTATTATTATTATTATTATTATTACTACTATTTAATAATGATAATTGTAAAGAAAAACCTTTTTTGGGTGTTAAAGGAATATTACCACCTAAATTTGATTGCGAAATACTAATTTTATTTTTAACTTGACTATTATTATTTATATTTGTATTGTTACTATTTATATTGTTTACATTTGTATCTACAGTATTATTAATATTTAATGATATGGAGGGTATATTATTTATATTATTTTCTTGAATTTTAGAGTTAAGAGAATTAGAATCATCCAATAATTCATCCTCTTCCACAACATCCTCTTCTAATGAATCAATATACTCTTCTTCATCCTCCTCGTTAATTACGTCCAACACCTCTTCGTCGTTATCTTCCTCTTCCTCTTCGTCATCTTTGTCGTCATTTGATGATAATTGAAATGATTGAGGGGGTATTGCTAATGGCGGCATGTTATGTATATGTTGCTTTACTAATGTTGTCCTTGGTGACAATGGTATGTTATGAAGATGATGTGAAAGATGTGTCAATGATGGTGATCTTGGTGTTATTGGAGATAAAGGGTTATTACTATTATTTACATTATTATTATTGTTTACAATATTTGATAAATTATTTATTTTTGGTGTTTTGGGTGTCATCAGCTGAGACGATACCTCGTATGATATATTATTATTATTTGTGTAGTTTGATAAAAGCTGTGATGTATTTATAGATGGTACAATTGGTATTTTCTTTATATTATTGTTATTATTATTATTATTATTATTATTATTATTATTATTATTATTATTATTATTATTATTATTATTATTATTATTATTATTGTTGATATTATTCATTGAAGTTGGGTTTGATGAAGGTGAACCTGACATTATACTTGAAAATGATGATGTTGATGATGATAGTGATGAAGATGAAGATTGTGGTGTTGATGAATAATTTTTTAAAATATCTGTTACAAGTGAATCTATAGCATTTGCTGTTGTTTGTGATAAAGTTCCCAATGTTTGTTCGTAGGCTATCTCCTCATCAATACTATTGCTATTGCTATTGTTACTATTATTTTGCTGTTTTTCAACAGGCATTGATTTTGAATTTTTTTTATTCTAAATACAAATAAAAAGTGTCAATATGTTAATATAGTATAAAAAAATAAATGTAAAAAAAAATGATTAAATGAAATCTATTAATCTTAGAATAAACATAAACAACAACAAAGAATATAATTAAATGAAAAAAAAAAAAAAAAAAAAAACAAAGAAATAAATAAATAATAAATTCTTACATTCATTATATGTATATATTGTCAAATTTTGTATTATTTAAAAACATTATGGAGTTATATATTAAACAACAATAAAATAAAAGAAAAAAAAAAAAAAAAAAAAAAAAAAAAGGTTGAAAAAGATAAAAGATGGTATTAAATGTACTGTTTTTAATAATTGATTTTTTTTAAATTAAAAATAAAAAAAAAATTAAAATAAAAAAATAAAAAAATAAAAATAAAAATTATAAAAAAATTTTTAAAAAAAAAAAAATTATAAAATATTGGTTCGCTGAGATTTTATTTTTTTTTTTTTTTTTTATGATTACAATTATTTAATATAAATCTATAATAATGTGTAATTTGAGCAAAACTCTTCCAAACATAGCTTTTTGGTTTTAATTAACCACAACCTTTTTTTTTTTTTTATTTAAATACAATATAAAACAATTATAATAAAAGTGTGAACATAATGACAACAATTATTTTGATATTTTATATATCCATGATTCAAGATTTTATATAGATTTGTTTTGTTTTTATTTGTTATTATTTTTTTTGTTTATTATTTTTAAAATATTTGTGGTTTTAGGAAATAGACACCTTTATTTAATTATTATTATCATATTGAGTGTGGTGGAATGATAATTATTTTTTTTTATTCTAAGGATGTCTATATTTTCCTATTTATAAATTCTATTATAATAAATAAAGATAAAACTAAATATATAAATGAAGGGAATCTGAAATCAATTTTAATAAAAAAATAACTTTATGTTTTCAAAACTTATTAATTATGTGTAAAAAAATAATTATTTTTTTAAATTTAAAAAAATTTTATTTTTTTTTTTAATTTTTAATTTAAAATTTTATGCGTTTTTTTTTTTTTTTTTTTTTTTCATATTTCTCATTTCATAATACTTATTATATAATACAACTATAACAATAAAATGTCATTATCAGAATCATTTAAAGAGAGTAAAGATATTAAAGTTTGGGTAACCTCAAACGAAGTTAAACCAATCGATCAATTTGGCGAAGTTGAATGTCCACCATGCATCAAAAAAATGGCAAATTCTCAATTTTGTGGTGATCAATTGGTCGCTTCTTATTTATGTTTCCAAGAGAATAGTAAAGATGGTAAAAAACTTGATGATTGTGCAAAATCCTTTGCTCAACTCAGAGAATGTATGATGAGTTATCCAATCAAATTTTATGATGCATTATTTAAAAGGTTAGTATTAAAATAATTAAAATAAACATGATAATAAAATAATAATAAATAATATTTTATAATAAAATGATCTCTTTTTAGTTTTTAAAAAATTTAAAATTTTTACATAACTAACACCACATTCCTCTTTATAAATATAATCTCGAACCACACTTTATACACAGAGATGAAAAAAAGAAAGATTAAAAAGATTTAGGGTCAAAAAAAATAAAAAAAATAAAAACACATCAACTCTTTTAAAAATCTCGATTTAACTATTTATTAAACGATAATAGAAATGTATAGAAAGCAACTAATGGTTATTAAAAGAAAAAAAAAAGAAAAGATATAATAAAAAATAATATATAAAAAATTGTATAAAATAAAAAAACTTAATTTTATTTATTATTATCAAATTATTAAACATTTTTTTTGTTTTATTTATTGGACCATAAAAAGGTTTTTATTAAATTCAGGATGAAAAAAAAAAATACATACAAAGATTTTTGTTTTTTGTTTTAAATTAAATTATACATATTAAATCGAACTTTTATTAAATATTTTATTTTGTTTGATGTCTAATGAATCTTAAAGCAATGAAAAGACAAATGAGGAAGAATACAGCATAACCAAAGATTACTGATAAGAATTTGTACATATTTTCTTCTTTCATTTCGTAACGGTCGAGAATAAGATTACCATTAGTAACTTGACAATAAGCACGAGTTTTACATTCTGCATTTGGATAGGCTACGGTATTGTAACATTCAGTTGCATTACCTTGAGAGTAGTCACCAAGTTCGTTAAGACGGGTATAGTTGTATGGGACTTGGACATATTCGTCATTATCGCAATGGAATTCGAGGTCACGGAATTCGTTGACCATAACAATTGCAAGTGGATAAGTGGTTGGATCCAAATCATAGAACCAATGCCATCCTTTGGCAATACTTCCTGGTGGAATCATGAAACCAGCGAATAAAGAACTAATTGAAAGAGCAACACCACCAAGAGCATGAGCAATTTCATCAGTTGGTAAAACACAGGCAAAGACAATAGCTAATAATGCAAAGTTTAAGTAGGTTGTGAATAGAACAAAGCAGAAATAAAAGAATGGAGCACCATTTGGATCGGTTCTAAGACCAGAGATAAAGTAACATGGGATGGCATAAATAATAGCTGAAAGGAAATTCCATGGAAGATCGGCAGTAACAAAGGTAACGAGGTAAATTGGAATGGAGTACATACCGGATGATTGTTCACGATAGAAAACACCTCTTTCCATATTTACAACTGGGATAGATGACATACCAGACATACCACCAAACATTAAACTAAAGAAAAGAATTGAAACACGATTATAAATGTTCTCTTGGTTAGTTGACATTCTAACGAAAAGAGTACCTAAGATAACACCTAAAAAGAGTGAACGCATTAAACGAGTACGAATATTTTGTACTCTACGGGTTTGGGCCAACCAAGCTCTAACCATAAGTTCTTTAAATTGAGTACCATAGGTTGAAGAGTATATACCGTGGAATTCTGGGACTGGAGTACCTGATGGCATAACACCTTCATTAATTTTAGCTAATAAATTGGTATTTAATGATGATTCTTTGAATTTTTGGACTGGGTGGAATTGATATGGTTCACCGTTAAGAGTAGTGTCAATAACTTCGTCGGTAACATCTAAAATAAAATCGGCTGGATTTTTGAGTGGATCACAAACAAGACCGTGACCTTCAAAGTAGTTGAGTACATCAACACTCATTTCACCAGTTGGACCAAAGTATACAGTTTCACCACCTCTCTTTAATAAAAGTAAATGATCGAATTTCTTGAAAATTGAAGTTGATGGTTGATGAATAGTACAGATGATGGAACGACCACTTTCGGCAATCTTCTTAATTAAATTCATTACTTTAAGAGCGGATGATGAATCGAGACCAGATGTTGGCTCATCAAGGAATAATAATTGTGGATCGGATGCTAATTCAATACCAATGTTAACACGTTTTCTTTGAGATAATGAAAGACCTTCTTCACCATGACCAATTGGTTTGTTTTGGATCTTGATAAGATTGAGAGTTTCAAGAATATTTTCGACAAATTTGATTTTTTCATCCATTGGCATATCGGCTGGGAGACGAAGTTTAGCACTGAAGGTAATTGCTTCACGGACAGTTTGAGTTGGTGGTAAAACATCTAATTGTTCTACATAACCATTTAAACGAGTGAAGTATTTATCACGTTTTTGACCATTAATTAAAATTTCACCTTTAGTATGACCACCAGTCTTTCTGTTTGCTAATACATCTAAAAGAGTTGATTTACCAGCACCTGATGGACCCATTAAAGCTAAAAGCATACCTGGTTTAACATAACCATTGATTTCATTTAATAATCTTAATCTTTGCTTTTTACCATCTTTCTTGATATCAACTTCATAAATAAGATCTTTCCATTGCATGTAACAACCAATTGGGACTTCTTTTTGTGATTTAGCTTTCTTTTCAACAATTTCAACTTTTGATTCCTTGATCTTATTCTTTTTAACACTCTTTTTCTTTAATTTCTTATCATTCTTTGGATCTGAAGCTCTGTGATCATAGTGAATATTTTTGAGGAAGAAATACATTAAAATTGAAAAGATTACACCAAAAGCAAATACAATTACTAAATCGATCCATTTGAACCAATTGTTTTGTGGCATACCAAGTTGGTCAAGGAATTGATCACCGTTTTCGATTGGACAGATTTGAGTGACATTTCCACCAAAGAATTCTGGGAATGGTGGTTGTAATTCTGATGATTCACAGTGATATTTAAGACCATGATGTTCATTTGACATTAAACCTTCGAAAGCATATTTAATTGGTGAGATCCAATAGATCCAAATCCACCAACCACCAATTGATTTACGAGGAGCCATGAAACCAGCGAATAAAATGAATGGGGAAAGAGCAGCTGGAGCAATTACTGAAGCAATGGTTTGATTTGGTGAGAAAGCAGATACCATCTTAAAGAAAGATTGGAATGCAAGATCACCTACAAAATTCATTAAAAGGAAATAAATGAATTTTTCGGCATTCGCTTGAAGACCACACATCCAGTAGACCAGCACAGTAAACACAACAGTTTCGAGAGCAGCAATTGGAATTTCAGCAAAAATTAATGAAAGGAAGAAAGCCATAGTACGATAATATTTACCATCTTTTTGAACGTAGAAAACTTCTCTTTGTTCGAAAAGAATAGCAATAGCACCCATACCAGAGAAGAGAATGAATAAAAGAGCAAAGAAAATTAAACCAGATCTGTTTTGACCATCTGTTTGATTTGGTGCCAAATTCCAAAACAATGAACCCAAAATAAGACCCATAACAATTGATTTCATAATTCTCATACGAACAGCAACTGGATTTGAAATTAACATTTTGAAGGCTCTAATACTTGCTAAGTGAACTTGATAATTTAATTCGGTTGGATACTTGGCTAAATGTGAACTATCTTTACATTGTGAATAATCTGGTTGTTGACCATCGAGATCGTTAATGATCGATTGGAACATTTCGGAGTTTTTATAAGCTTCAGCAAAATCTTCAGCACCTCTAAAAGTTGGTTCACCTTCACCACCCCAATATAATTCTGGTTCATCAACAATTTCTTGGAAAAATTCGGCTGGATTGTGGTGAAGTGGTAATTTGAAACCTAATGATTCAAAATAACCAATAGCATCACTCATTGGACCAAAATAAACCATATGACCTTGATTTAAAACCATTAAAAAGTCAAATAATTTAGTAAGTTCAACACCTGGTTGTAATAAAGCAACCATAGTTGCAACATTGTTTCTATTTGATAATTCTCTAAAATGTTTCATTAACTAAATTTTAAAATAAATCATTAATAATTTACTCGAAAAAAAATAATAAAAATAATAATAATTATATTTACATCTAATGAAGTTGTACTATCTAAACCGGTAGTTGGTTCATCCATAAGAACCAAACCTGCATCTTTAACTAACTCGACACCAATTGTAACTCTTTTCTTTTGACCACCAGAAACACCTCTTAAAAATTCATTACCTACTACTGTATCTTGTTGTCTCTCGAGATCTAAAGTCTTTAAAATATAATCTACTCTTGCGTTCTTTTCTTCTTCAGATGATCCCTCTGGCATTTGAAGGTCAGCACTAAATTTAAAAGTTTCTCTAACAGTGAATGGGGCTAAAAAATTTAAAATTAAAATTAATATTTTAAAAAATTAAATAATATTTAAATATCTAATAAACTATAACATACCCATGTGATGATCATCTTGAACAACATATGAAACATCTCTGTGATGTGTATCTTCGTGAGCAAGTTTACCGTTGAATAAAAGACTACCTGAAATTCTTTCGTCGTGAGTTTGTTGTGAAAGTGCTTTGAAGACTGAGGTTTTACCACAGCCTGGTGAACCAAGGATTAAAACCATTGAACCTGGTTTTAAAAAGAAATTTAAATCGGATAAAATATTTCTTTGATTATTATCTTTTTCTGTTCCAACGGTCATTGTTAAATTTCTGGCAGTGACATACATCCCTTTTTTTTCTCTGTATAAACCCATTGGACCTTGATCATCATAGTTTCCCTTAGTGTTGGCACCAAATGGTGATGATGATTGGTTGGATATGGTATCCATGGCAATCTCTTCATTAATTTCTGGAGGAGCCATTTTTATATGTATATATATATATGTTTATTTATTATTATTCTATATAGTGTAAAAGTTTATTTTATTGCTTAATTGAATGAATAAATTAAAAAAATGCAAATAAACAAAATTTAAAACCTTTTTATTATTATTATTATTATTATTTATAATTTATAAATATAATATTATATTAATTAATGTTATAAAAAATTAAATATATATTATTGCTACTAAATATATATTATTTTTTTTTAGTGATACAAATATATAATTTTTTGTATTTATTTTTTAGAAAAAAAAAAAAATAAATAAATATAAAAAACTATTTATATAAAGATTTCTTCCTTTAAGAAAATAAATATAAAAAAAAAAAAAAAAAATTAGTATTTGAATTTTGTTGTTATTACACATTATTTAATATAAAATGAATAAAAAAAAAAAAAGTTTGATATGTCATTATGATGGTGTTGTAATGTTCTCACAAACGATTACCACCAAATAAAGAATAAAATGATGCATTTTAATTTTCTTTCATATAATTAAAAATAGGTTTTTGAGTGGTAATTTTTAATTAAAAATAAAAATAAAAAATTTAAAAATAAAAAAAAAAAAAAAAATTAAATGTGTGTTGGTTTTTTTTTAAAATAAAAAAACAAATTTAGACCCAAAATAACTGTGTTTGTGTTTGGGTGGGAGAGTAAAACAAAAAAAATAAAAACAAAAAATAGTGAGATACAAATAATTAAAACAATTACTAAAAAAAAAAAAAAAAAGATAAATAAAAAATAAGGACAAGAAAACAAAGATTGTTTTTATAGATTTAATAATAAACACAATAATTATTTTGTTTTTTAATATTAGCACCGCCAATCTTGCACTTCCACATTTTTTTTTATATTATATTTTATATTTTATATTTTAAAATTATCTTACTTTTAATTTTTTAGATTAAAACAAAGTGTATTGGTATAAATAAATAAAATAAAGATTGAATTATAAATAAATAATAATCTTTTTTTTTTTTTTTTTTCTTGTTACTATTATTTAAAAAAAATATATAAAATGAAATAGAAAAAAAATAGTTTTATAGAAAAAATAAAAATAAAAATATAAAAATATAAAAATAAAAAAAAAAAATAAAAAAAAAAATAAAATTATATAATACTAAAAATAAATTTTAACTTTGTACCATCCATAACCATATTAATACTAAAACGAAATTATCTAACAACATAGATTTGAAAAAAAAGTTAGTTTTTAAAATTTTGTTTTTTTTTTTAATTTTTTTTTAATTTTTTTAATTTTTTTTCAATTAATTTTGCATAACCAATATTGTCGCATGCATGATACTATAAAAAACTCAATCTATTTCATCATTCATAACACAATAAATTGCACCATAAAAATCTTTTAATTGGCATTTTCGATTATTTAATTTTTATTTTTAAATTTTTTTTTTAATAAATAATAATTACTCAATCAATTTCACCTTTCACATGTGAAAATCTTTTTAAATAAATTTATGATGGAATGATATGATCATAAATTTTGTTGTGAAAATGTGTGAGTGGGTAAAGATGTAGTGGGTGGAATAGAATTTTATTTTATCCAAAAGATAGGAAAAACAAAATCCCATTTTTTTTTTTTTTTTTTTTTTTTAAAATTTTTTTTTTTTTAATTTGTTGTTAATTTTTGATTAAATAAATTAATTTTTTGTAATGAAGTAAAAATTATGTTTTGTTTTTTTTTTTAAAACTTCAATTTTTGGAACCTTTTTTTTTTTTTTTTTTATTTTAGGGGAAAGCAAATACCAGATAAAACGTGGCAAAAACACATAATTATTTCAAGCCAAAAAGTAAACTGCACATCAAAAAAAAAAAACTTATATGTTCCAATTAGCCCCAAGGTATGGCGAAAAACTACTTTCCTCTTTTATCCAAATTTATAAAAAAAAATATTTAAAAATAAATTAAAAAAAAAACTGCTAAAAATTTTTTTTTTTATTTTTAAAAAAAATTAAAATAACCTTATATTTAAAATAATTTTTTTTTATTTTATTTCAACGCCAAATTGTTTATTTTGGATATCTATGGTGATTGCTTTGCTTTTTTTATTTATTTTTTTTATTATATAGAATCTGTCAATTTTTGCTTCTTTCGAAATGTTTATTCTAATCATATATGCCTAAATTCATTTGTTAATGCCTAATTTTCTAAAAAAAGAAATAAATGAAGTTTTAAAATACAATGATTATTTGTGTGTGTTAAATTTTTTTATTATTTTTTTATTATTTTTTTATTTTATTATTTTATTAATTTTTTTTATTTTATTTTTTGGATCCCGATGAATAAATAGAAAAAATGTAGATTATAAAAACTCATTGGAAAAAAAAAATTACGCATTTTTATCATACAAAATTGTTGGTCCATAGATATTATTTAAATTTGATGAAGTTATTATTGTTAAAAATATAGTGTATCATTATTTTATATTAAAAATACCACGAATTCACCCCACACTTTTTTTTTTTTAGATTTCATTTCTGTTTTATTTTTTTATTTTTTTATTTTTTTATTTTTAAATTATTTGAATTAAATCAAGAAAGGGTTGATTTACCACCCAATAATATTAAAATTAAATTAATTATAATATAAATGATAGAACTTTGAATATTCCCAAAAATAAATTAAATAGTTATAAAAAAAGAAAATTTATTTAAAAAATATTGAAAAAAAAATTTTGTTTTTTTTTTTTATTTTCGTTTTTCTTTTTTTTTTTAAAATTTTTTTTTTATTATTTTAATTTTTCATTTATTTTTAAATTTATTAAATTTAAACATATAATTAAAGAATGACAGTCGAATCAGAGGTAGAATTTATTAGCGTTGGTGCAAATTGCCTCGGTGATTGTTTAGTATGGGGTCAAAATGGACTTGCTGCATATGGTGCACAAAATTTTGTTGCATTATTTGACCCAATTCAATCAAAAGTTTTAGCAACTCTTCCAGGACATAAAGATAGAGTTAATCATATTGTTTGGGTACCAAATGTCACCGAAGGTATATACATTTAATTTTAAAAGAATGATTTTAATCCAAAATTAATAATAATTTTTTTAAAAAATTAGAATATTCAAAAAGATATTTAGCAAAAGAAAATGAAATTTTATCATGTTCATCAGATAATACAATTATATCATGGAGAGAAATTAAAGGTGGTAGCAAACATCAATATAAAGTTGAACAAGTATTAAAGGGTCATAGCGATAGTGTAACAAGTATTTCAGTATTAGATTTTCCAGATGGTTCATTATTATTATGCTCAACATCAGCAGATAACACTGTTAAGATTTGGAAAAGAGAAGCTATTAGTAAAGAAAATTTAGAGAACAATACATTACCACAATGGAGTTGTATTCAAACTATTGATTTTAAACCAAAATGTATGGAGTGTTGCAGTATTGCATTCATCCCAGATACCCATATTCCAATTATTGCATTGGGTGGTCTTGAGCCAAGAATTCACATCTTCATTCAAAATACTGATAGCAATATATCACAAGAGCAACCATTACAATTTAAAAAGTTAATGTCATTACAAGGTCATCAAGATTGGATAAGATGCTTATCATTTACAACATCATTTAATACAGAGGAAAATGAAAACGAACTTATTTTAGCTTCGTCATCACAAGATTTCAAGATTAGACTTTGGAAACTTTCTAAATTTACTCAAAAGAAACAAGAAGAAAGAGAAAAAGAGGATTCTACCAATTTATTAGGTTCATTATCAACTCAATTAAGTGGTGTAACATCATTAAGTACCAAAGGTTATCTTTTCAATTGCAATTCAAATAAATATATTATACTCTTAGATGCAGTTTTATCTGGTCACGACGATTGGGTTTACTCTATTCATTGGTCACCAGCTACATTCAACAAACAACTCGATAAAAAAGAACAACCAATGTGTTTACTTTCAGCATCTATGGATAAGACAGCTATTGTTTGGAGACCAGATCGTAGTACCGGTATTTGGATCGATGAAAGCAGAGTTGGTGATATGGGTGGTAATATTTTAGGTCTATATGGTGCAGTTTTCTCACCGGATTCAAAATACATTCTTTCACATGGTTATAATGGTGCATTCCATTTTTGGAAACAAAGCGAAACATCTAAAACTCTTTGGGAACCTCAAATTGTTGTTAGTGGTCATTTTGGTCCAGTTCAAGATTTAATGTGGTCACCAGATTACAGTTATATGATTTCATGTAGTACCGATCGTACATTACGTCTTTTTAGCGAATGGAAAAAAGGAGGCGAAAACAACAACCAAGTTAATTCATGGAATGAAATCGCAAGACCTCAAATTCATGGTTACGATTTAGAATGTTTTACTTTTGTTTACAAGAAATCCCATGTTTTAGTTTCTGGTGCCGAGGAAAAAATTATGAGAGCATTTGTAGGTTCACAAAATTTCGTCGATACTCTTTGTAATATTTCTAAAGTTCAACCAATTAATGATGGCACTCAAAGACCATTAGCAGCCAATCAACCTTCATTAGGTTTATCAAATAAACCATACGGTGGTAGTAGCAGTGGTAATGATACATCAGCTACAGAGGAAGATCAACCAATGAAGATCGCAGGTGGTGGTGAAGAGGGTGAAGGTATGGATACAGGTTATTTTGAAGACGAAATTCCATTTAATCCAGAGGTTTTAAGCCAACCACCATTTGAAGAACATCTTTTACAATCAAGTCTTTGGCCAGAAATTCAAAAACTTTATGGTCATGGTAACGAAATCATTTCAGTTGCTTGTAGTTATGATGGTCAATATTTAGCATCAGCATGTAGAGCATCAGCACCAGATCAAGCTACAGTTCGTATTTGGAACATATCAAATTGGAAAGAGGTTGCCAATCTCAAGGGTCATACTCTTACTATTGTAAATTTAGCATTTTCACACGACAGTAAATATTTATTAGGTGTCAGTAGAGATCGTATGTGGACACTTTGGAAACGTACCGATAATCCAGAAGAACCATTTATTAAAGTTATCTCTGCACCAAAAGCTCATGGTCGTATCATTTGGTCAGGTTCATGGAGTCACGACGATAAATATTTCGCTACAGGTGCTCGTGATAAAGTTGTTAAAATTTGGTCATTAGAAAACATCACAACTAAATCTGCTTTAGCTGCAACTCTTCCAACATTTGGTTCAGGTGTAACTTGTGTAGAATTTGCACCAAAATCAAATAAATTTGAAAATGAGCACTTAATAGCTGTAGGTGAAGACGAAGGTAAAATTACAATTTGGAAATCAAATAACAATTGCTCAGAATGGTCATGCATTCATACAATCTCATCTGAAGTTTCCCATACCTTAGATGTTAGAAAAATTCGTTGGAGAGATACCCCAATCATTGGTCAAGACAATTCAATTACTTATCAAATTGCTACATGTTCACTTGATAATTCAGTTCGTATTTTTAATTTAAAATTTAATTAAAAAAAATAAAATAAAATATCTTTTAATAAAAATAAAATAAATATATAATTATTTTAAAAAAATAATAATATAATATCAAAAAAAAAAAAAAAAAAAAAAAGAAAAAAAGAAAAAAAGAAAAAAAAAAACCATATTGTGGTGGTTTTAAAATTTTTTTTATTTATTATATTATTGGATTAAAAAATACTATTTTTTATTAATTTATATTGTCTATTTAAATTTTATAATTTATTTTTTTTATTTTTACATTTTTTATATTGATATATTCCACTTCTTTTTATTGATTAAATAATTTTTTTTGCGAATTAATTAAACCCTAGTACCCATGCTTTTTTAAGATTTTTTTACTATGCACATGCTGTTATAAAAAGAAAAATAGTTTAACTAATTCCATTATTATTTTTTTTAATAAGTGTAATTCCCACCCCCAAAATTTTTTATACCTATCCAAGTTGGACTTTATAATAAAAAAAAAAATATTTATAATTTTATTTTTAATTTATTTATATGTGTTTTTAATTAAAATAAATTATAATAAATCAAAATTAAAAATATAACTACTTTTAAATTTATATTTTTTTAGGAATAAAAAAGTCAAGAAAATAATTTGTTTATTTATAGAAATTTTAAATATAAAATTATTCACTAATGATGATATATACCACCATTTATGAAATTATAGGGGTTAAAAATGGTTTTTTTTTTTTTTAAAATCTTTTATTATATAATTATATAATTAATTAAAAATTTAAATATATAATAATTTTTAGGGTAAAAAACATTGCTTCCATTCAGCAAACATCACAAAAAGGAATTTGTTTAAAATATTAATAATTTCCTTTTTATTATTTTATAAGAAATAATAATTTACAATTAATACATCCATACATATATTATCTTGTGTTGTGGTGTGTGTGGAAATATTTAAAATTTTTTTATATTTATATTACTAATCAAACATAGATATTAATATAAATTATTTATTAATGGTATAATAAAAATGGAATTAATCTTTTTTTAATTGTTTTTTTTATTTCTGTTAATTTCATTATTTTAATTTTAATAAAAATATAAATAAATTAATAAATTAATAAATATATATTTTTTTTTTTTTATTATATTTATAATAAAAATAATAATAATAAATTTAGAGTTTTTTTTTTTTTTTTCAAATATATATATAGTATTTATTTATTGTGTTTTATAATTTTTTAAATAGCAATAAATTTTCATAGTTTTTAATTATGATAAATTCGTCAAAAAATAGCGATCATGAAATTGATATAAATAATAATTCGGATAGCAATAATGGTCATAATAATAATGAAAATAAAGAGGGTAGTAAAAGTGATAATAATTTTAATATAGATATTAATAAAAGTAATAATAGGATATATAAGTTACGAAATCAAGAGATCAAAGTCAATAATTCGTTAGATTCTTTTACATGTCCAGTCCCAATATCCGATAGTGTTGATTTAGAAAAAAATAAAAGAAATAGTGGTGATAGTAATAATGGGGTTTCAAATATAAAAACATCTTTATTTGTTACAGCTAGAAATTTATCATCTACTGTGGGAAAGGGGGAAAAGGAAAAAAAAATTTTAACAGATTTAAATTTTTTTTTAAAACCTGGCTCAATGGTTTTACTTTTAGGTTCTCCTGGTTGTGGTAAAACTTCACTTATGAATACATTGGCCTTATTAAAAAATAATGAAGATATTTCAGGTAATTTGTTGTTTAATGGAAGACCGGGAAATGAAAAAACACATCATAGACATGTTAGTTATGTAATTCAAGAAGATCAGCACATGGGTAAGTAGTTAGTTATTTATTTATTTATTTTTAAAAAATTTTTTTTTTTTTTAATTTTTAAATTTTTTATTTTTTAAAATACTAATTTTTTTATTTTTTCAAAAGCTGCATTAACTGTAAAGGATACACTAAAATTTAGTGCTGATTGTCAATTAGGGGATAAAACACAACAAGAAAGAAATGAAAGGGTTCAAAATGTTTTAGAGTTTTTAGAATTATCTCATGTCAAAGATACAGTGGTTGGTGATGAATTTTTAAGAGGTGTTTCTGGTGGTCAAAAGAAAAGAGTTACAATTGGTGTTGAGCTGGTCAAGGATTCAAATTTGTTACTTATGGATGAACCAACAAATGGGTTAGATAGTTCTATTGCCTTTGATTTAATGACAAAAATCAAACAAAAAGTCGAAAGCGAAAAGTTGTCTTGTCTTGTTTCATTATTGCAACCAGGTGTCGAAATTACAAGATTATTTGACTACTTGATGATTATGAATCAAGGGCAAATGTCATATTTTGGTCCAATGAACCAAGCAATTGGTTACTTTGAATCTTTAGGATTCAAATTCCCTCATCGTCATAACCCAGCAGAGTTCTTTCAAGAAATTGTTGATGAACCAGAATTATATTGGAGTGGCGAAGATCATCCCCCATATAAAGGTGCAGAGGATTTTGCATCGGCCTATAGAAAGTCAGATATCTATAAATATACACTAGATTACATTGACAATAATATTCCCAACCCCAGCAGTTATGTAGACTATTCAACAGAGAGCGCCTACTCAATAACATTCACCAGACAATTACTATTAAATATTCAAAGAGGTGTTAAATTAAATTTTGGTAATCTTGTCTCGCTTAGATTAAGAATATTAAAGAATGTAATTATGGGTTTCATTCTCGGTACTCTTTATTGGAAATTAGAAACAAATCAAACTGATGGTAACAATAGATCAAGTTTGCTGTTTTTTGCCCTTTTATCTTTTGTATTTGGTGGTTTTAGTTCAATTTCAATTTTCTTCATCAACAGACCAATATTTTATCAACAAAGAGCATGGAAATATTACAATACTTTTTCTTATTTCGTATCAATGGTTATTAACGATCTTCCACTATCAATTATAGAGGTATTGGTTTTTTCAAATTTCCTTTATTGGATGACTGGGCTTAATAAAACTTGGGATCGTTTCATTTACTTTTTACTAATGTGTTTTGTTAATGATGTGCTTTCTCAATCAATGTTAAGAATGGTTAGTTCATTTTCTCCAAATAAAAACATTGCCGCTGCTTTAGGTCCTGCTCTTATCTCTCCTTTCCTTTTAATGTGTGGTTTTATGAAAAAGAAGAATGATATCCCAGGTTGGTGGATTTGGTTATATTGGATATCACCAATTCATTATGGCTTTGAGGGTTTATTAATTAACGAACACCATGGTTTAGATTATCATTGCTCAGAAAATGAATTTTACCCACCATCATACTTACCAAATTTTAATCTCACTTATCCACTTGGCTTTGAAGGAAATCAAGTTTGTCCAATTAGAAAAGGTGATCAAATTTTAGAGAATTTAGGTTTTGAATCAGAGTTTTATTTCAGATGGGTAGATTTGGCTATTTGCTCGGGTTTTGTAATTCTTTTTTGGATAATTACATTCTTCTGTATGAAATATATTCAATTCTATGAATATAGAAAAGATACTAGTGTCAAAGTTAAAGATCAAAGAGTTGCAAGAGAAATGAGAGTCAATATTAAATCAAGTCAAGCTAGATTAAAGAAAACAAATAACGTACCAAATGGTTGTTACATGCAATGGAAAGATCTTGTTTATGAAGTAGATGGTAAAAAGGATGGTAAAAAGCAAAGATTAAGACTATTAAATGAAATTAATGGTTACGTTAAACCAGGTATGCTTTTAGCTTTAATGGGTCCATCAGGTGCTGGTAAATCAACTCTTTTAGATGTATTAGCAAACAGAAAGACTGGTGGTCATACTAAAGGTGAAATTTTAATTAATGGTCAAAAACGTGATAAATATTTCACTAGGATTTCAGCATATGTAGAGCAAATGGATATTTTATCTCCAACTCAAACTGTCCGTGAAGCAATTATGTTTAGCGCACAAACTAGATTATCAAAGACCATTCCATTAAAGGATAAAGAAGATTTTGTCGAAAATATTCTCGAAACATTAAATTTAGCAAAGATTCAAAACTCTTTAATAGGTGAAGGTGAAAGTGGTCTTTCATTGGCTCAAAGAAAACGTGTTAACATGGGTGTTGAATTAGCATCTGATCCACAATTATTATTCCTTGATGAACCAACATCTGGTCTCGATTCATCATCCGCTCTTAAAGTAATGAATTTTATAAAGAAAATTGCATCAAGTGGCCGTGCTGTTATCTGTACTATTCATCAACCATCAACAACTATTTTTAAGAAATTCGATCATTTACTTTTATTAAAGAGAGGTGGTGAAACTGTATACTTTGGTCCAACTGGTGAAAATTCATCCATAGTTTTAGATTATTTTTCAAGTCATGGATTGGAATGTGATCCATTCAAGAACCCAGCAGATTTTGTTTTGGAGGTAACAGATGATAGTATCCAGGTGGAAAATGAAAAAGGAGAGTTGGTACATTTCAATCCAGTTCAATCATTCAAAGATTCAGAAGCTAATAAGGAATTAGTTAATAAAGTTCAAACCAGTATTATGCCAGAGGAAACAGTGGTACCAACATTCCATGGTAAATATTCTAGCTCAGCTTGGACTCAATTTAAAGAATTAAATCAACGTGCCTGGAGAAGTAGTATTCGTAGGGTCGAAATTATTAGATCTCGTATTGGTAGATCAATTGTTTTATCAATAATCATCGGAACATTATTTTTGCGTATGGACAATGAGCAGGAAAATGTTTATAATCGTGTATCATTATTATTCTTTAGCTTAATGTTTGGTGGTATGGCTGGTATGTCAGTAATTCCTGTTGTTGTAACCGAAAGAGCTGTATTCTATCGTGAACAAGCATCTGGCATGTACAGAGTCTGGTTATATTATATAAACCTCATCATTTCAGATCTACCATGGGTAATACTAACTTCGTATGCCTATGTAATTCCAGTATACTTTTTAACAGGTCTAACTTTAGATGATAATGGTTGGCCATTCTTTTACCATTCATTTGTTTCAGTTTTCGTATATCTAAATTTCTCCTTAGCTGCCATCTTTTTAGCCTCAGTTTTACCAAGTGAAGAAATTGCTTTTGTTTTCAATGGTGTTTTACTATCACTTACATCATTGTTTGCAGGTTTCATGGTTCCACCAAAGTCATTACCAAGATATTGGAAATGGGTTTACGATATAGATTTTATCACATACCCACTCAAGGCTTACCTTACAACCGAATTTAAAGATATGGAGTTTGTTTGTACAGATGGCAAAGGTGCTGTTCCTATTCCAATTCCCTCACAAAATACAACAAAACTTTTCTGCCCAGTAACAAGGGGTACTCAAGTTTTAGATTCTGTAGATTACAAAGTCAAGGATCAATATTATGACATTTTAATTACAAGTGCTTTTACAATTTTCTTTATAGTTCTAGGTTTTCTATCATTCAAATTTGTTAGATATCAAAATAGATAAATATTTTATATTAGTCTTATAGTATTTATTATATTAAATCCTTTTTTATTTATTTAAAATTAAAAAAAAGTTAATAAACAAAAAATTCTTTTTTATTACAAAAACTAAATAGTTTTTTTTGTTAAATTTTACATAGAATCTAAAATAAAATGTAAAGATAAAAAAATAAATAACATTTGGTAATCTATTAAAAAAATATTTAATAAAATTTCTTTATTTTGTTTTGAACAGATAATAGATTTTTGGGAAATATTTAAAATATTTTTTTATTTATTTTGAAACTTTGAACGAAAAATTATTAATTTATATTTTACACAATTATTTTTATTTTTTTTACAATTGATAAAAAAAAAAAAAAAAAAAAAGTTTATTATTATATTTAAAATATAAGGTGGTATTTTTTAAATTTATAGTTTTCTATTTCTTTCTATCTATCTCTTTTTCTTTATATTTTCTATCTATCTCTTTTTCCTTCATTCTATTTTTCACCCTTCCTTCTATCCTTTTTCCTTTTTCCATATTATTATTAAACACATATAGCATTAAAATGAACAACTCAAATATAAGTATTGGTTGTTGTAGTATACAAAAAGAAAACAGTTTTAACGAAAGAAATGATAAAATTATAAAGAAAAATGAAGAGCTTCGAAATAGTAGAGAAGATGCAAAAGTTTTATCTGAATTAACAAAATTTATAGTAAGTTATTTTTATTTTTTATATAACTTTTAGGTTACTAACTTTAATAAATAATATAGGTATGAAAGTATGCAAATATATGTAAGTTTTATATATTAAAAAAATAAATTTATTTTTTATGATATTTATTTTTTATTATTTGTTTTTTATATTATTTTTTTTTAAAGATTGAACCGAATTTATTTGATTCATTTATTGCCTCACCACCTTTTTCTTCAATTTTACAGCATTCTTTGTGGAGATCTTTTTCATTAAAAACAGGGGAATCAGTAAGATATTTCTGTAAAACACCAACTTGAGTGAAGTTATATTTCTTTACTTGTGCATTGGTAATTGATCTAATAATCTTGCCCATCATATCATATTTTTGCATATTAATAAATTGTTCATTTACAATTGATTTATTACCATTTTGTATAGCGATGGAATGGCTGAAATATGCACCCAAATATGGAATAACTGGACAGCTGCTATCAACTGAATCCATGACCTTTCTTAATCTTGAAATATTTTGTGGTAAAATCATTTCTTTAAACTCTGTAATTGGTGTATTGGCTTTGGTTGTCTTTATAAATGCCCATGTTGTTTTAAGTTTTTCAATGGATGGTTTGCTCATTGCTGCAATAATTGCAATCGAGCTATTAAAATTTTTTAAATACCAACAATTCTAAAATAATAAAAAAAAAATTGTAAGTATAAATTTCTTTTAAAAATAATAAAAATATACATTTTTACTTACCAATGCAATATTTAAAAATTTAAAAATAGTTTCAACTCTTTTTTCAAAGCTTTGAGATAATACAATTTCACTGCAAACCCATAGTACAAGATAATTAAATCTATCAGTGATCTTTTGAATTGGTGGAGAATTTGTTTGATGAACGGCATAGTCTAGAATTTGTTGTTTGGTTAGTTGAGATAAAAGATCTTGATCAATAATTGTCAATTGTCTTGCAACTTCGTGAGGTCTAAGGCTTGAATCAAGTAAACAAATATCATTTTGGTTTGCATTTTGTGATAGTTGGAAATCTGGGATTGGTGCCGGGGCATCAAATATCTCCTCTTCCTCATTACTATTTCCTTCTTCTTTTAACTTCATTGACGAGTAAACTTGTTTTAGTGCTGATTTTAATGTATAATTGGTTATTAATTCAATCGAATCCGAACAACTTTGTAAATATTTATTAAATGATATCATGTCATCACTCTTAAAATCATTCCAACAATTTTCAATCCATCTTTGTGAAAATGATAATACCCTATTTAAATAATAATAAATGTTAATATTTTATATTTTTTGTTTTTATATTTAAATTATAACTTACTTTTGTTTAATTACATGAGTTTTTGCATTTAAAAATCTTTGTTCTAAATGTTCTATAACTAGAGGAATTTTGGTAAATAATAAATAAGTATCAAAGAATAAACTAAATAGTTCATTACTATGACCTCTTTCGTGGGTTAATAATTGTATAAGCATTTTAAGAGTAACATTTTTAACTTTTGGAATACCGTCTTCTGATGTAAATTCAATTTCTTGGTTTATTACTGGACTTGACATTAGCTCTCTTATAAAGTCATCACCCTCGTGGTATGTACTAAAGTTACCACTATTACCATTACCACTTACACTTAAAGGTGATGCTGAACCACTGGCTAAAAATGATCCAGATTGGGAAAGTGATGAAGGACCAGTAAAACTACTGGTAGCTGGACTATTAGAAAATAAATCGAATGTTGATGCACCGGTTGGTAACAGTGATGGGTTACCTTGGGATTGTGATAATAAATTGGTCGATGATATTTGAGCAGGACTGTTTAATTTTTTTGAGCTTTTAAACTTTTTCTTTGCAGCTTGCAATGCTGATGTAGTTTGAAACTTTTGATTAGTTAATAAACCTAATAGTTTTCTTTTAGAGTAAATTGGATGATTTCCTTTATCGTCATAAATATCCTCAATAAATTCAACCTTTATTTTTTCGAAATTAATTAAAACTTTTTGCTGTTGTTGTGTTTGTTGAGGTTCTTTTGTTGAGGTATTTGATGATGCGTTTAATGATGCTACAACTGGTGAATCTGGAGTTCCCTTATTATGTAATGGTGAAGCTGGTAATGGTGGAGGTGGTGGGGGATGGGATGGTGGTTGTGATGTTGGTGATGGTGATGTAAATTGTTGACCTCTTGGACTTTCAATGCATTCTAAAATTGGTGTTTGAACGGATGATGATGGACTGATACAATCTGAGTTAACTTCTGTGAATGTTTTTTCTCTGTATAAATCATCATTTTGAGAGTGACCTCTTCTTATAGACATAGCAATTTCATCTTTTGAACTAGTTCTACGTTCCAATGTTCTTGGTGAATCAAAACTATTTGAAAGTAAATTATCATCTCTATATTGGGATTTTCCGCTCTGAGTAATACTACTAGAACTTCCATTAATACTACTACTACTTGTATTTAGTGAGTCTGAAATATTTGTATCTGAATTGCTACTTGGTATTTTGTTTAATTGGGGTTGCTGTGGTATATTTTGAGTAGATTGTGACAAATTATTTGAAGAACCTTTATTCTTTTTAGTTGCAGTACTACCGCTAAATTGTTTAAATATTGTCTGAATAAATGTTTTGGACTCTCCTTTGTTGGCTACAGTTTGGGATCTACCTCTACCAAGATAATGGAAATCACCTTCCCCTTCTTGCTGTGCGAATGGGTTATCACAAGAGGCTTCATAGATATTCTCCTCTGATGAACAATTTGATAAAGTATCAACTGATCCCCTTCCTGGGCTAATATGTTCAATATCTAAAGTATAGGATCTGTTTCTCGAATTTTGAACATCGCCTGCTGTATTTTTTAGTGATAGTGGTGGAATAACCAAACCATTTGTTTTTTTATTTAATTGCTGGGTATTCATTGTTGGACTAAGTGGTGTTGGGGTTTGATTTTGTTGTTGATTTATATTATTATTTACAGGAATATTTACATTACTATTATTTACAGAATTATTAATTGATTGATTTAATAACTTATTGGTTTTTGGTAGTGGTTTTGGTGGTGTTTTTTTTGAGCCAAATAATCTGCTTCTTGGTGAAATTGGTGATGACTCTATCGATGAATCATCATTTGCACTATATTATATAAAAAAAATATTAATAACTACTTTATAGAATAAAATTTAATTTTTTAATATATTACCCATCAATTGAAAACTTTACTGGAGAATATGCTTTGGGTTGAATGTTATCCAATTTTAATGTTTTAATTTTTAAAAGATAAAATGAACTTGGTAATTCAGTTAAATGATTTTCTTTTAAATTTAATTTCTTTAACGTATCCATTGAACCTAAACAAGCTACACCGCTATCATTGTTGAGTTTATTTGATCTAAAATTAATCGATTTCAAATTCATTAAATTTATAATATCTTCATCGATATGTGAAAGTTGATTATATGATACATCTAATCTTTTTAAATTTGTTAATAATTTTATTTTTCCTGGGATTTGTGTAATTGAATTTTTTTTTAGCTCTAACCTACAATTATTAAAAACATGTTAATATATAAACCAAAACTATATTTAATTTAATAATTTTAAAAATTCTAAAACTTACCTTGTTAAAAAAATTAAATCAAAAATACAATTTGGAATTGATGTTAATTGACAATTTTCCATAGATAAAGATTTTAAATTGATAAGACATCTAAAATAGGGTGTCAATTTATCAAAATTAATATGAATATTAAATGATAAATAAAGACGTTCAATAGATCTAAACTTTTGGCTATCTCTAACTTGATCAGGAAATTCTATAAAATTACTTTTAACCAAATCCAAAGAATTGCCAGTTGGTGTACGCTTTTTATTTTCTAAAAGAGGAGAGCTGCAAGGCGAGCCTATACCCATTGTAATGAGTTGTTGTGGTAATTTTGATGATGGTCTTGGGTCATGATTAGAAAATGATGATGGTGATAGTGATGATGATGATATAGTTGTAGTAGTAGTTGACAATGAGGACGAGGAAGAAGTATTTGATAAACTAAATAACGGTGGTGGTGGGAAATCCATCTCCCCAATACTATGGCAATAAAGAAATGCATAAACCTTTGATACAGCCTCAGAAAAGCAGTTACCATCCAATACGATTCTTCTTAAACTGGATATTGGTGAAAGATTTGGGATTTCTTTTAAAAGATTATTTGATAAATTTAGTACCTCCAAAGTTTGAATATCTGCAATAGTTGGTGGAATACTTGATAAATTATTCTTATATAAATTTAATGTCTGTAATTTACTCCATTTTGAAACTGTTTCGGGTAATGTTAACAATCTGTTCTCTGAGATATCTAAATATAGCAATTGGGAGGTAGAGATAATAAACTCATTTGAAATCGAGGTGAGAAGATTATTCTTTAATACCAATCTTGTTAAAAACTTTAATGTATAACTTGACAATATAAAACCAAGGTCTGAAATTTTTCTATTACTGAGGTCTAGGTTTTCAATATTACTTTTTGCTACACCAGCGTTACCATTTGATAAAATTGGAGAAGATGTAGTTGATGATGTTGATATTGATATTGTTCTTGGCGAAATAGGTTGATGTTGTAATTGTATTTGCTGTTCTTTTTCAATACTGCTTATTGATATTTCAATATTTTCTTCTTGAATCATTTTTTTTTCTTAATTTTTACATTAAAAAAAAAATTTAAAAAAAACTTTATAAATTAATTAAAATGAAAAAATAAATAAATAAAAAGATTTTTGATATATAAAATAAATAAAAAACTAATTTATAACCTAAAATAAAATATTAAATCTTTTAATATATATTATTATCTTTTAAAAAAAAAATTATTAATTAACATTAAATTTTAATAAATTAATATAAAATATTTTAAATAATTAAAAAAGGTTGATGATGTTGTTTATAATGTGAGTGGATGTAAGTTAGAAAATATTAATTAATATTTTCTAATGCAAATTTTTTTTTCTTTTTTTCTTTCTTTTTTTTTTTTTTTTTTTTTTTTTTTTTTTATTGTAAAAATATGAATTAACAATATACACTAAAATAATATATACTCTATACTCTATAAAAAATTAGATGGATATAGTGGATAGATGTGAAAATATTATTATTGATATCAACTTTTATAGAGCGAAAAAAAAAAACAATAAATTAAATTGTCAGCAATAATAAAATAAATTGTTAGAAATAACTATAAAAAAAAACACATACTGGAAGGTTGTCTTATTACTACCAAAATTGATATTGTGTGGATATTAATTTAATGTATAACTAATAGATAAACACTGAAATGATTTTTTTTTGTTATTTATTGAAAAATTTTTATTTATTTTTATTATTATTTTATTTTACTATATGTGTTATAAATGTACAATAGATATATTATTTTATATAATTAAATATTTTAAAAAAAATTAAAATATAAAATAAAGTTTACAATATTAAAAAAAAAATAATAAAAAAAAAATAATTATAAATAATAAAAAAAAAAATAAAAAATATTATTTGATTTAAAATATATAAGGTGAGTGTGAGCGCGTGGTGTTTTTTTTGTTATGTTATTAGTGTGTGTGTGGTTATTAGTGTGTGTATGTGTGTGAAACTTTTATTTTTTTATTTTTTTTTTTATTCCTATTATTGTTGGAATGTAATAAACTAAATAAATAAATAATTTTAAAATTCTATTCTTATAATTAAAGTGCCAAAGATATATATCTTTAAATACATTTTAAAATCTGTGTTTAGTGTATATAATTGCTGTGATTAACCTATTGATTTTTTATAATTTTTATAGATTTTCTATTTTTAACTTTTTAATTAGTGTTTAAATTATTATTATTCTTTCATATATTTGATTTGTTATTTTTTGGGTTATTTGTTTCTATTATTAAATATTGTTGGAGTCTTTTTTTATAATAATACAATTAATTTAATTGATAAATGTTCTTTTTTATTTTAAATTTTATAAATATTTATATATATGGTATAGTTAAGAAAATTAAAAACAATAAAAAAACCACCCCACCCCACGCTAACAAAAAAAACACACACCCAAAGATAATATTTGCGACATACAATAACTACTGTTTGATGATAATGCTATAATGAATTTAACTATAAATAATTGTTATTTAATAATGAAAAGTAATAGTGTTTTGATAACAAATTTGTGCTAACTAGTAATAGCAGTAGAAGAAGAAGATGGTAACTTTATATGTTATTGTTTTCTGTTAGATGGCGTGTGTGTGTGGTAATTTTTAAATTTTATTATTGTTTATTAAACTATTACTACAACTATTACTACTACTACTACTACTATATTACCACCACTGTATTTTTAACCCGCCACTACATTAATTATTATTGTGTTATGTGATATAACATATATGTTGTTATAAAAAATAAAATATAAAATAAAAATAAAAATATAAATTTTATTATACATACACAAAAAAAAAAAAAAGAAATAATTTGAAAAATAAATAAAATATTATAATATTGCTCTATGTATATTATTATCTATTTTAAATATAAGTTATTTGATCAAAAAGTGATTATTGTATGATAAACAATTTGAAATCATTTTTTTTTTTTTTTTTTTTTTTTTTTTTTTAATATTATTTTATTTTAATTAAATTTATTATTAAAAAAATGTTTGAGGTTATTGTGTGTTTTATATATAAAATCATTTTTGTGATTATATTTTTCTCTCCATTTAATCCTTTTAATACACTTCCCAATCATTTTATAACCATTTTACAAATTAAAAATTTTGATCTAATTATAAAAAAATTTTGAAAAAAAAATTTTTTTTTTAAATTAATTAATTTTGGTTATTTTTTTTTTTTTTGAATGTGGGTTTTTTTTTGAGAGTGGGCGGTTTATAAGTTTATATACAAATGGTGTGTGTAAGTGTGTGTATGTGTGTGTTATGTGTGTGTGTATGTGTCTATGTTTGTTTGAAAGTGTCCATAGAGGGACTTTTAATACAATTAAAAAAATTATAGTTTGTTCATTGATTAAATATATAATATAAAATCATTATTTAACTATTTAATCATAATATCTAGATAGATCATAACTTTCCTTAAATGATAAAATCACAATAATTATTTTTAGTAACCCCTGTAAAAAAAAAAAACAAAAATAATAAAACTACACTTTTTTTTAATTTATTATTTATTTAAATAATAAAAAAATAATAAAATTAATGAATAAATTTATTAAATTATTATAAAATGTATATATATTTGTTTTTTTTTTTTTTTAATTTGATTTAGGTTCATCCTTCTTTCTATTTAACAATTTATCTAAACGATTTCTTACTGGTTGTAAAGTTGGTAAAATTGAAAGAGTTGCTAAAATTCCCATACTTAAAATAGATTTTAAATCAAAAATATCGGTTGGTTTGGAAATATTTTGAATTGAAATTCCAGCTTTTACTGCTAAAAAGGTTGCTGGCATTATACCTATAAATGTTCCAATGGCAAATGTTGAGATTGGTACATCTAATAATGGTGAGGCTAAATTAATAAACCAATTTGGAAGGAAGGGTGTAATACGAAGGAAAATAATATAATTGAATAAATTATCACGACGTTGTGAAATTGATTCTGAAAATAATTTTAATTTATCTGGGAATAATCTTCTAACCATATTTCTACCAATATAATATGATATTAAATAGCTTAAGGGTTGCACCTAGAGTTGCTACAAAACAAACAAGTGGAAATCCAACTTTTAATCCAAATAATCCACCTGATAAGAAACTTAGAAATACTGATCCTGGAATTGAAAATGCTTGTAAACTATATTTTATTAAATTATCAATGATTTATATTTATATTATTATTATTTTGAGAGAAAAAAATAATTAATTTCATAATTAATTATTTATATTTATTATTTTTACTTACAATGTATAAATTACTCCAAATGTAGTAATTACAATAAAATAATTATCTTTAGTATATTTTGAAAGAATATCACTTAAAACTTTGACATCTTTAAATGATTGTGGTAAACGAATTAATTGTTTGTGTTCCTCTGATAAATTTGGGAAATTTAAAAATAAAAATACAATAACAGTGATTGAAACAGCAAAAAATACAACGAGTAACCAAATTGGAAGAGGTTCTGATTCTCCTTCTATTCTATATATATTTTTTTTATTTATTGTGGTATTCGGTGATATTTTAATTTTACTTTCTAATTTTGTATTAGTATTATTATTACTATTGCTATCAGTGCTGTTATTTATATTGCTATTATTATTATTATTGGTATTATTATTATTGGTATTAGAACTATTACTATAAACAATGTTATTGTTCATATTGTTAATGTTACTAACTACATCTATATTCATTTTTTTTTTTTATTACTATTATTATATAATATATTTCTTTAGTCGGTCGATTTTATAAATTTAATAGTATAGAGTATTATTTTTATAGGTATTGAAAAAATATATAAAACAAAATGGTAAATATAAAGAGTGTTTATTGGTCGTTCCTCTATCGTTGAAAAATTTAAAAAAAAAAATAAAAAATAAAATTTAAAAAAATAAAATTTAAAAAAACAAAATAAAATTTAAAAAAACAAAATAAAATTTAAAAAAAAAAAAAAAGAATTTGTTATTAAATTTAATAAATATATTATAACAATGTTTATTATATTTGGAAATTTAAAAAAAAAAAAAAAAAAAGGGAATATGGAAATATAAAAAATTTAAAATAAAAAAAAATAAATAAATAATTTTCAATAATTTGTAATTTATTAATAAAAATAATTAAAAAGTGTGTTAAAATATACAAATAAATATTTACCACACTTTTACTTTTAAGTTGTGATATAACTATTCTTTACAATTTTATACATACATAATAAAAAAAAAATAAAAAAACAATTTTATATTAATTATTTTTTATTTTTTTTATTATTTTTTATTTTTTTTTATTTTTTTTTATTTTATTTTTTTAAAATTGAACAATTTTCTTTGAACAGATACACCACGTGTATGAAATTTTATTTTAATTTTGGTATTTATATAAATTTTTTTATTAATTTAAATTAATTCATCAAAAAACAAAACACAAC